CCTGAATGCAGTGTATCTCACATATTAAATTTTTTTAAGTGAGATTCTATGTGACTGTGGATACTTTGCCATTCTTCATTCATTCACCAAATATAAATTGGTCATCTGCTCTAAACCACACCCTTGCTAGATGCAAGGAATGTTGTGGCTAGCAAAACTGCCATGAATCTGGTCCCATGAGGCCTTCTTTCTAGCTTATGCTTCCTAATGTTGAAATCTTTGAAAAGTGAATTTCTCTGTGCAAAGTGAGAAAATGAACACTTTTTAGTGTTTCTAGGAAATACTAAGATTATGCAAAATAAAGTATCTAACATATCGTAGGTACCCAATAAAGTCTAATTCACCTCCCACACCAACAGACTCTTGAAGACAGTCACTTTCTATTACTTGGGGTACTATTACTTCTGATGGCTATCGAAATTCCATGGGTTCCCCTAAGATTCATGATATACATTATACCCTATAAAAGACCTCAGGAAAGAAAATCCGCTTAGTAGCTAACCAGTGATGGGGAAATGGGTCACCAACTAAGCTGATTACACCCCAGGCTTTCCATCCAAGCCAAATATATTTGCTGGAGTTTCCAGACAACCTAACTCTACAATATGGCTTGATATCTGGACTTCCTTTCCAGGTTAAAAAAAAAAATTAGAAAGGAAGGAGAGTGCCATGGGCACAGAGCTGTGGCCGACAAGGAGAGGTGCTGCCTAGACACCCTTTGAGGAATGAGTCAGTGCTTGCATGCCCTTCCCAAGGCAGCCCCATGCAGAGACTGACAGTGGTGAGGGCGCAAGGACCTGGCCAATTTGGCATGATGGGGGACAACTCCGATGGGTGGTTCTCATTCCAGAGTTCCGTACCAGGCTGGCCAAGATTTTGTCAGGCTTGCTTTGTGGGAAAATGTGATTCAATCTATGGGTATCACAAATGACCAGTGAGTTCTTTTCTCATCCCAAAATAAAAATGCCAGAAGAGCCCTACATCCCCTCCAATTTCTTCTCTGTTTATCCCATCTGGCTTTCTTCAATGAATCCTGCTCAACTCAGCCTTCCAGTGGTCTGCTGGAAGCTTGAGAAGAACACCCACTGGCATGTCCTCTCTGAAATCAGCCAGGTCACCTCTACACTGCTACTTCTCTCCTGACTCCCTCATCCTCTGGTTTCCTTATCTGATGTTTGGTCATAGGGAGTAGCTGTGCTGTTGGCTAGAAGACTAAACTCAAGAGATGGAACGACAAAGGGAAGGGATCTGAGAATACTACACTTCCATCTCCCTCTGGCAGGATGCTCTTAGGAACTTTGCTCTTAGGATTCTTAGTAGAGACAGAGTCATGGGAGAGGAGTTACTCTATGTGAAATAATTAGATAAAAAAATGGCTTCTGGGCAGCAGCGGATTTCCTATCAAACTGGAAAAATGTCATTCCATGACCATAACTTTTATTATTATTATTATTTATTTATTTGGCTGTGCTGCATCTTAGTTGTGGCATGCAGAATCTTTAGTTTTGGCATGTGAACTCTTAATTGCAGCACATGGGATCTAGCTTCCTGACCAGGGATCCAACCTGGGCCCCCTTCATTGAGCGCATGAAGTCTTAGTCACAGGACCACGAGGGAAGTCTCATGACCAGAACTTTGGGAGAGCTCAGACTGAGAACTAGGCAACCTACTAGGGAGCAGATGTGCTGTCCTTCCTTTTTCTCAAACTGGTGTTTTTCCTTCATTCCTCCACCTGCTCCAACTATGTCTGAGATGGTCCTCTAGGCTTCCCTTGTTCTGGGGCATGCCTGTGATAGACACATAGAAGACTGTGTCCCTAGGCCCTCTTGGAATGGGTGGGCTACATGACCAATATTCACACTAATGAAATGTTGGAGGAAATAATGTTTCAAAAGTCCCTCCATGATTCTCCAAGTTCTCTTTTCTCTTGTTGGAGCAAATGTTGCCATTCCAGGTGGTGGAGCCTTCATCAGCTTGTGTCCCTGGGTGAATAAGAGAGTAGGACCCTTTCTCCATCCTTATTTCCCACTCACTAAAGTTGACTCCATGAGAGCAGGAATGTTTCTATGTTAAGCCACTGATATCTGGGAGCTGTTAGCACAGCATAAGCCTAAGCTATCCTGACTACAATGCCCTTATAATCAAATAAAATATGCTCCAAAACTTGTAAACTGATTTCTGTCTCTCTTGGATTATATGACAGTTGAAAGTTTGCAACTCTAGTCTTCTAAACATACTGCTGAGTCTCTTGATTAATAGCATAGCTTAATAGCCACATCCACTTCCCAGGATTAAATTTCGCTTGCTTGCCCTTTGGTACCCTGTAAGGTTGCAAGTCTACATCAAGTGACCAGCAGGAATATAGATCAGCAGGAACATAACCATGTTGCATTAAAAAGAAAAAAAGAAAAGACATCATAGAGATGTCATGATTCCGCCAAGCTCCAAACAAGTCTTCCTAGGACCACATGCTGTGGGAGCACCATAGTACAGGCTGGTCTTCAACATCTGGGAGATTAGAAATTCTTTTCCCAAGACTCTAAGAAGACATTAGGTTTACAGGGGCTGACTTATAGTAAGCAGACTCATGTACCAACAGACTAATATATAAACAGGACCTCATTTTATTTTTTACAATGTGAATGTGTTTTTTCCAATTGAATATTCATGAGCACAGTCCAGGATGATTCTTCTCTACAAGAGCAAACCAAGGAAGACAACACATAAAGAAAGACTGACAGAAGGGGTACTGGGAGGCTGACCACCTTGGGAGCCATTCCATTCAGACCACTAAGGTAGGTCTTCATGAATCATTGGGAAGTCGAATCTTTTTTTGCTCTTTTTCACACACACTCACACACACACACACACACACACACACACATGCACATACATGCACGCGTGCAGGCAAATACACACATAATATTGGATAAATACTAACACATTTTTGCTTTCAAGTTCCTGATTTTTCTGCAAACATGGTTCAATAAAACTGACTACATGTTAGTTGGGCCACTAATTGTTCAATCTTGATTGGCTCAGTCAGTCATTTAGAGAAAACATCTTTATCATTTCAACAGATGGCTGCTTTAATCTACCACACTTAAATTTGTTCTGATTTGGGGAGTGCCTGTCAGTCTCATATATCAAACAATTAGAGTTGAGTCTTGAGTCTCATAAGGCATTGCAGAATGCCTTTACACATCTAGATTGATGGGGAGCCAAATTCAGCCTGCCACCTGTTTTTGTAAATAACATTTTCTTTGAACTCATCCATGCTCATTAACTTGCATATTGTCTGAGACTGCTTTCACACTCGAGAGATGAGTAGCAGCAACAGAGCTTAAAGTATCTCTTATCTGGCTTTCTTTACAGAAAAAAAAAGTTTGCTGACCTATGATATAGACAGTGGCTTCATCATGTTATAACCAAATAATTTCTCTAGCCAATAGCAACGGTTCTCAAATTATAGTCAGTTGTACCCTCCAGGTGATGGGCAGGAAATACACACATATGAAAATCCCATGTTCATATGCACTGGTGCTCTGGTGGTTCTGACCCCAGGTTTCACTTAACTCGAAGAAAACCCACTTCCATAGTAAACCTGCTATGGGTCACACTGCAGAGATCAACACTGAATAAAGACTCTCAGCCTGGCTGGAACATTATCAAAGATTCAGATCCTCCAAGAAAAATGTATCACTGTCCGCTATAAATTATTCAGCTCTTAGGGCTTCAGTTTTCTTGTCTGTTAAGTCAAATAGCCCGGGCTTCAAAACAGGTCATTTTGAAGATCAAAATGAGAGAAAACAAGAAAATAAGTTGTAAGGTCATCCATCGTAAGGTCTTTTGTAAATGTCACAGGAAGTAGTTTAGAAATGATTGCATCACATTGGTTTTTATATTCAGCAAATATTAAAGACAATACAGGGTCTCAGATGACACTAACAAAATAGCTTCCTTGCATCACTTGCTGTCTCCAGTTTCAAAAAGCTGTCCCATCACTTGCTTTCCTCAGTTGTTACCCAAAGGCCTTGGCACCAAACACCTTGGATGTTCTCTTCATTAGAAAACAGTCCTATAGACAACACAGAATGCTGGTCCTTCTGCTGGGAACATCTGCCTTCTCCTGTGCACAGAGACCACATCTCAGAGGCTTCCCACCTTTAAGCAAACTGAACCAGAATCCTCCTTTGAGGTGGCTTATGGAGTGACCCAGGAGGCTCTGAGACACCCTCAGGAACTCAGGTTAAGTTTCAGTTAGAATCACAAAGAGTGCTACACGGGGACAGAAGCGAGCTGTGTGCCGGACAGTGTTGGGTGTACCAGTCCACCCGCCTCAGTATCTCTCAGATCCCTTCAGTCTCACATTCTAAGTACATGAGCAGTAGTCTCGTGGGCATCATTCAAACCTCTCGAATTTACTAAAAATCAGATGATTAGAATCCATGAGTGTCCACAGTGAGGGCACGGTGTTTGTCTCTGTATGTGTATGTGTGTGTGACTGTACAAGTGTAGAAAATGGGTAAAAAGATTAAATGTGAGTGCCTACGAGTTAGCATAAATGTAGTCAAGATGCAGTATAGGAAGTAGTAAGGACTAGCAACTCTGGAAGCAAGTGTGTGGTCTGAATGCTAGAGCGGCCACTTCCTAGCTGTGTGCTTGTGAGCAACATAGGTTAGATCACTGCTCAGCAAAGTTTGTCCTGCCCCACCATTACCTCTGTGGGAGAACTGTCCCTTTCTGCCCTGTTAAAAGCTTAGTTTTGGCCATGAGACTCATTTTGGCAGATAGAATATGGGCAGAAATGGCAGTGTTCAGGAGCTTAAGAGGTATTGTATGTTTTTGCTCATTTCTCTATCATCTGACATCTCCATGAAAGAAGCCTCCCCCAGGGAGCCACTGACTCTCCATCCTGGGCCCCAAGTAGGACACCCTTGGGGTAGCAGAGCCACCCCAATCAACCCACCAGCCTGTAGACTGTGTGAAAATCAGCGCTTGTTGCCTTGTACCACTGCGATTTTGCCTTTGTTTGTTATGCAGCAAAAAGTGATACAGGCAAGTTACTTACTCCCCCTGTTCCTTCTCCAGGTAAGCTAGGAGAAGGGCGGTGCCTGCTGCAAAGGACTGTCATAAGAATTAAATGCGTTAATATATATAAAGCACTTAGAACACTTCCTGGCACATAGTAAGTGCTTTTATAAGTGTTAACTGTTGTAGTTGTGTGTAAATGTAAGAGGAAGCAGGTACCCGGGTAGGTAAGAGTGGATGAGCATGGACTCAAGTGTCAGAGTGAGCGTGTGAGAGGAGAAGAAGGATAGTGGGGTCAGGTGTGTAGGCAGCTGTGTGCAGAGAGGGGGACGCACGGCCCTCAGCAGAAGTACTCGTTGATCCGTCTGCTGGCCCTGATGCCCACGGCCTGAGAGTCCAGGCTGGAGCGAGCAGAGAGGAGTCTGTCGGCCTCACTGAGGCTGTGCTGGGACAGATCCTCTGAGCCGTCCTCGCTGTGGCCCAGCCTCTCCAGGTTGACGTAGGCACCTGTGGCCTCGGCGGAGCCCCTGGCGCGGCACTTGTGCCAGCGCCTCCGGACGGCACCGCAGCAGACGAGCAGCGTGAGCGGCAGGGCGATGACGGCGGCCACGCTGATCACCACCACGTTGATGAGCCGCTGAGTGGCCTCGGCGTCCACCACCTCGTCGGTGGAGAAGATGACGCACTGCTCCTTCCGGGGCACGAAGCCCCGCACGCAGACGCACGCCACGTACTTGACCTTGGGCACCAGCCCACGGATGGTGACGCTGGTCTTCCCGGGCGGCACCACCTCACGCCGCATGTCGCGCTGCCCAAAGACCGCGTAGAGGACGCTGAAGGCAGTTGTGTTCCCAGCCTGGGGGGCCTTCCACACCAAGGTCACGCTCTGGTAAGTGTCCCCCACCACCTTCAGGGAGCTCACCGTCTGGGCCTCCTGGGGGCCGGCCGGCACGTCCGAGGGCTCTTCTGGGGCCCTCATCTGGAAGTGCTGGAGGAAGAGCTGCTCCTTCGTGTTGGGCGCGGGGGGCCCGGTGGCCGGGACGGCAGGCTCAGGGACGTGGGGCACGTGTCTGGCCACCATCTTGTTATACGCGGCAGCTTCCGCCCCCTCGCCCGTCCTTGCCCACCGCGCCCCTGGGCCCCCACTGCGTTCCGTGAATGTCTGCGGTTCCGTGACGACCAGGGAGATAAGAGTCTCAGAGGCTCCCAGGAAGTTCTTGGCCTGACAGATGTAGTCTCCTGAGTCCAGGTGGGACACGGCAGGCAGGCCCAGTAGAGTCCAGCTCGTGCCGTCACTGGAGACTTCCCGGTGCACTGCAAGGGGGAAAAGAGACAGATGAGGGAGAATGAACAGCCCCATCTGCCCCAAACTTATTTCCAGCCAAGTTCACAGCCCCTGGATTGTGTACATTCTGTCCAACACCCGAGAAAAGACTGGGCTTTATTGAACTTTTTTTAGATTGGCCAAGGGAATGGAGATCAGCTGGGATTAAATCTGGGGACACCCAGACTGGGCCATGGACTTCCCTGGTGGCTCAGACGGTAAAGCGGCTGCCTACAATGCGGGAAACCCAGGTTCGATCCCTGGGTCGGGAAGGAGATCCCCCTGGAGAAGGAAATGGCAACCCACTCCAGTACTCTTGCCTGGAAAATCCCATGGACAGACGGAGGAGCCTGATAGGCTACAGTCCATGGGTCGCAAAGAGTCAGACAGGACTGAGCGACTTCACTTTCACTTTTCAGACTGGGGCGGAGTGTGAGAATGATCAGCCATCTAGATCTGAGATGTTCCAGGACTGTTTTTCAGGGGCCTGAGTTCTGCAGAGCTGACCCCTCAGAGGCAGTGGGCTGATGCTTTGGGGATGTGGGTTTGGGTGCACCTGAGCCAGAGGACCTCTGCAAGTGCCCTGCACACCCCTGCCTGGGCCCACTGCTACTTCCACCAATGCATCTCCAACTTTTCTGTTCTAGGTGAGTGGAACTCCTCCACAGTTTTGTTGGTACATTGATTTCAAACCCACAGTCCTAGAGCAACACTTGCCAACCTAGTTGAGGGAAACAGAGAAGAAACCTGGGAGGGATGGGAGGTGTTCTGGTCAGAGGCCAAAAATTGATGCCTCCTCCATCCTCTTTCTACATGTGGGTGGGCTGTGACTCCTGCAAACCCCCTCCCCCAACTCAGTGCCAGGGATGAACCGTCTCTGTCTACACAGCCAAAAGGGCACGGGCTAAGGAGTCCCACTTCCTCCTTATGAGCTGTGAGCTGTGTGGTATAGACCAAGCATTTAGCCCCTCAGGGCCTCAATTTACTTATATACAAAATAGAAGGATAGTCAGGTTGTTCTTTAAAGTTCAGTGACATTATGTACATAATACATTTAACACATGATGAACTCAGTAGATGGTAACTCCTAGCATTAATTACTCCTAGTGATACTGGTTTCATATTTACCACTTAGAAACTTATTGTAAATATTAAATACACTAAGAGAGCACTTTCTACCCCAAAGCTAGTGTTTCGTTCCTCTTGGGTGCGCCCCGAGAATCCACTAGTCTGAGGCCGGTGGAATATGACAGAACAGTTTGAGTGCCACGATCATCACTGAAACCACTGCCCCCATGCCCACCTCCGGCTGGAGCCTTCCAACTCCATTCAGACAGGATGGGAGTAAAGAGCCTTCCTTAGCCCTCCTCCTGGCAAACCTGACCCCCTCCCCACCTGTGTGGGATGTTGACCCATCCATCCTAGTCTGGGATCTCAGCACAGTGGTCCCTGGAGGTCACACACCTGTGCCATTGAGTGGGTGCCCGTTGGCCCTACTCCAGCTCATCTCCGGCCCGGGGACCCCAGTGGCCCCACAGCGTAGCAATACTGTGCTGCCCAAAGGGGACCTGATGCTGGTCATCCCCGGACGGAGCTCCGGACTCTGGCACTTCCTGAGTTCCAGCTGGCTGAAGACCACTCCAGCCAGGCTACGTGGGCTGGCACACCTCAGCCTGGCCTCTATGAAAGCCAGGTTTGGAGCCCAGCCTTCTAGGAAATGGACCAGGTCGTAGAGTCGGCAGTCACACACCCAGGGGTTGTCCTGCAGCCCTGCAGGGGTGAGAAGGAAGGCGAGAGGTAAGCCCAAGGTATTCAGATCCCCAGGCCCAGTGCCCCTTTCCCCCCAGGGAGGACAAGGTACGTCATGAGCTCAGAGTCAGCAGAACTGGCCTCCAGGCCCAGCTCCTTGCTTCACTAGCTATACAACCTTAAGTCTGGTTCTTCATCTAGAATGACAGCATTGAGAATTCCCTGGCAGTCCAGTGGTTAAGACTCCATGCTTCCAATGCAGGGGACATGGGTTCAATCCCTGGCGGGGAACTAAGGTCCCACATACCACACGGTGTGGCCAACAATTTTTTATAATAAATAAATAAAATAGAATGATAGCATTACTCCCTTTTCTGCGTAGCTATAAATATAAATAATGGTAAATCATATTAAGCACTGGGTGAGTGGGACAGCATCATGCATGGACACAGGAGCCCGGCCGGCTACAGTTCATAGCATCCCAAAGAGTCAGACTCAACTGAAGTGACGTAGCGTGCATGTATAAGCAGGACAGCATATGGACAAAATTGGCAGTTACCACTGCCACTGTTGGACTGATCCTCTCAGGCTACTGGCCAGGCAGTGGGTATTTCTGTAAAACCTGAAATATGCCAAAATCTATTTCTAGAAATGCTTCATGACCCCGACCCTTGACACCTATCCCCCCAGTATAAGTGTACTTTCAGCATCACTCCAGCAAAGAGGGTGGATGTTCTGAGCCATGGTCCCTTTGACACAGGCTCAAAAAGACAAGAGTGAGGATGACAGGAAATCAAATCCTATGTTATAGCCTCAGCCCTCTTTACTTTAAAATTTAACATCTTTATAGCGCTGAAGGCAGGTTACTGCACCCACCCTATCAAAGAACTTTCAATATATAGAGAGGTATCATGTGTCCTCAATCCTAAAACACAATTCCTTTTCATATGTTTACATTTCTTAAATACAAAATGAATCATATAATGTGATATCCTTCTGTCCTCCCCAGATTGTTATTAAATTTGATAGTGTCTAATCAATAGCATATAATATATTTACATAGATGTATTTGATATATTTGGAGGGGAAAATGTCAAGGGTTGGGGACAGTGGATTCAGACCTGCTTGTATATCCATGACTTTGGGGTCCTTTAGAGCACTGGATGGAAGCCACTAGTTTATTTCCCATCCCTCAACCCCATTCCATTCTGGTGACTGCTATCCTGTGTCACTGGTTAAATGCATTTTATGATACATCTGCATCCCAAGAGTCATCACTGCCCAGATCTGGTAGTCAGCTCTCTGACTTCACTTGTTACAACAGAATCCCCAAAGAATAAATACAAATGGCAAAGTGAAAGGACAATGAAACTTTCACCAGTCAGATTGGCAAAAGTTAAACATTCTGTCCTCTTTGATTGTTAGCCTCATGCAGGAAAAGATGTTCATCCATCTTGTTCACTGCTGTATCCTCAGCACCTAGAATGGAGCCCACACATTAGCTGGCTGAGTTACTCAAATAACCTTGCTGAGTAAGCACACACATGGGTGGGGCAGGTAAGAACTGGCACTTTAGAGACCATGGTTAATATTAAAACATCTAACTTGTGCACTCCATGGACCCAGAAATTCCACTTCTCTGTAACTATTCTAGAGAAACATTTGCCTCCGTGCACAAGGATGCATTGTCAAGAATGTTCTCTGCAGCACCACAGGTGTTAACAAAATAAGGGAAACAATCTAAAGGCCCATAAAAGGAGGAATGGCTAAATAAACTGTAGTATAACTGTTTGATGGGGCTTCCTCCGTGGCTCAGTGATAAGGAATCCGCCTGCAATACAGGAGACTCAGCGGGAGCCTTGGGTTTGACCCCTGAGTTGAAGATCCCCCGGAGAAGGAAATGGCAACTTGTCTGGAGAATTCCATGGACAGAGGAGCCTGGCGGGCTACAGTCCACGGGGTTGCAGAGAGTTGGACACAACTAGCAACTAAACAACAACAGTAATAACTGTGTGGAATATTATGCCAGAGTTTTAAAAAAATGAAGTTGATCCATTTGTGGTAACTTACAAAGACCTCCAAGACTTATTGCTGGGCGAAAAAGTGCTGTTTTTTACGTATAATATGATGAAATATTCCTAAAGTTTCTATGTGCATGTATGTATGTTTATGCATGAATGTAAATGTATTGTAGAAGAGAGGGAACATGCAAATAAACATAACAGTGGCTACCTTTTAGGAGAGGGAGAAGGAATTATAATCAGAAGAGGACACTACATATATACACACACACACACATATATACATACACACACACATATATATTTAGTTCAGTTCAGTTCAGTCGCTCAGTCATGTCTGACTCTTTGAGACCCCATGAACTGCAGCACGCCAGGCCTCCCTGTCCATCACCAATTCCCGGAGTCTACCCAAACCCATGTCCATTGAGTTGGTGATGCCATCCAGCCATCTCATCCTCTGTTGTCCCCTTCTTCTCTTGCCTCCAATCNCCAGCATCAGGGTCCTTTCAAATGAGTCAGCTCTTTGCATCAGGTGGCCCAAGTATTGGAGTTTCAGCTTCAACATCAGTCCTTCCAGTGAACACCCAGGACTGATCTCCTTTAGAATGGACTGGTTGGATCTCCTTTCAGTCCACGGGACTCTCAAGAGTCTTCTCCAACACCACAGTTCAAAAGCATCAATTTTTCAGTGCACAGCTTTCTTTATATATTTAAAGGGCATTCAAATTTCATTTTCAAATAAACAATGTCTTTCCATGTACTACCGTATACAGTGTTCTTTTCTAGGTAAGAAAGTCTGTAAAGTACATAGCATTGGGATGGGGTTTGCTGTTCTCTGCCCCACTTCCAGGGAAGTGAGGTGTCTGAATTGTCCCTGTTTGAGAGACATTCTCTCGGCTCAGGGCTGGAGCTGCTCCGAACCACTCTAAGATTGCTCCAGCCCCCAGTGCTGTACCCCACATAAGCCAAAGCATGTTTAGGGGACATCTGTCTCTCTGATGATGCTCCTCATCCACTCCCCACCACTCCACTCTCCAAGACTCCACCAGGGTTCCCCCACCCTCCTGGGACAGGGGAAAGTCCAGAGCTGGGGTGTGAACTGAAACAGTCTGGCCGGGAGCTTGAGCTCCTAACCCTACCTATCAATGAGTGCCTCTTAAGAGATGCCATTTCTTACCTAGGACCAACCTGGCATGGTGACCGGGACGGAAGGGCCCGGTGTGCAGGTGAACCCACGTGGCGAGCAGCTCCTGCGGGAGCCTCAGCAGCTGGTTGCTGGAGAGGTCCAGGAAAGTGAGGTTCCCCAGGAAGCGCGCGGCCTCCGGCGGCACAGCGGAGAGGCGGTTCGCCTGTAGGTCCAGCAGCCGCAGCTGGGGGGCGTCCCTGAGCGCCGCCCAGGGGAAGACGGCCAGGCGGTTCCCGGGCATGCGCAGCTCGCGCAGGCGGCGCAGGCCCCTGAGCATCAGCGCGCTGAGCTCGCAGAGGGCGTTGTAGGGCAGCCACAGCTGCTCCAGGCGGCCCAGCGTCTTGAAGGCTTCCCCGGGCACCCTGCGAATGGCCGTCCGCTCCAGGCGCAGTTTGGAGGTGTCCGGAGGAACAGATGCTGGGGGCAGAGTCATGTCAGGGTCGTTGCACACCACTGTCCTGGACACAGAAATGGGAGTATTTGAGCAAAGGTTCTGTGGAGTGGGCCCGGTCCTCTGCCTGAAGGATATCAAGCTTGAATTGCTATGTCCCCTTACAGCCCATACCTCCTGCAGCGCACGAATAATGAATAGTATTTAGAAATCCTGAGACCGTCTTGTGTACTGTCACATTGCATCTATGAATTGAAAGGGTTTGTTAAATTATAGCTCAGTTTGCATTGGCTTTTCATTAAATATGTGTATATATGTATATATATAGCAATGGCATCAGTTGTGGAAGCCATACAAGAGATGCCTCAAGCCCCTCCTGACTCTGAGGGACCTTGAGATGATCAAGGTGTTTAAAAGCTGGAACTTTGCAGTCACACGGGTAGATTCACCTCCGGGCTCTTTGCTTGCTGGCTGTGTGCCCCTGAGTATGTTATGTAACCTCTCTTTTTCTCAGTTTCCCCAGAATAATAGACTCCTCAGAGGGTAGTTTGGGGGGTTTAATGAGGTCATATGTGTACCAGCTCTGCAATATCTGTCCCCTGTAGAAACCAAATTACTATTGACCAGTGTTGTAAGTTTCTGCATCTAGCACTGCAATTCCATCAGGTCAGTCTTACCAGCTCCTTCCCATGCTTCTTCTGCCGAGACAGTGACTTCTTAAACCTCATTCTATCAAGTTTGACACAAAAGCAGAGGATAGAGAGATAGCAGGACACAGTCCCTGCTCTGGAGGAGCCTCCAATTCAGGACTCTGTTATACACTATCAGTGAGAGCAGCATGCCCACATATGGTGAAAGGGAAAGATTCTTAAGAGAATAAAACTTGGAGGCTGGGTCTGAGGGNAGAGATAGCAAGACACAGTCCCTGCTCTGGAGGAGCCTCCAATTCAGGACTCTGTTATACACTATCAGTGAGAGCAGCATGCCCACATATGGTGAAAGGGAAAGATTCTTAAGAGAATAAAACTTGGAGGCTGGGTCTGAGGGACTCAGCCCTTGTGCAGCCCCTGTTTCATCTGGAGGACGTCTCTGCTCACACTGCAAGAGGTGGGGCGGGGTGGTATTGTTAGTTTTACTAAGAGAGGTTGTACTCTTGTAATGTCATAACACATTGCTCACATCAGCCTTCCCGGCACCACACAGACACACAGGCTCCACCAGCATCCTTCAGCTTAACTCACATACAGTCCTCAAAGTCAGTTGGGCTTGGCTAGTTGTTAGTGTGCCCACAAAAGGCCTGGTTACTTCCACCCACTCATATTCATTCTTCAGATGTCCATGGAACTCCTTCTGAGCAATGAGTATAGTGGAAATTCAGAAGAACATCAGCCTCACAGCCCCTGTCCCCGTACAGCTTATAATTTAGCAAAGAAAGAAAAAAAGCGTTGGAGGCAATGATATCTTCAGGGATAATGGAAGCTTGGGTGTTGCAGGGAGGTAGGTCTGGATGTAGGTGGAAGGAAGGGAGTTGATGGGAAAACACATGCTGGAAGGGGGAGAAAACAGTAAGGAAGGGATGAAAGAAACCAGTAAGAGCCCAACACAGGCCGACAGCATGGCTCCTGGTGGGGCAGAAAGGCACGAAGGACGTGGGGACACATCTTTCCAGGTGCCCAGACTCACCCTCCCCACAGGAAACCACAGGGACCCATGAGTGCACACAAGCTTTTCATGATTGGGGAGCATGGAGCAGAGGCAGGCCCGCCAGGGGCTCAGATGTAAAAGCTGGGCCCTCCAAGAGGCCCGAAGTCATCCAAGACGCCAGAGGAGCCTTGGTCTGACTGTATCCCCTGCCTGTGGCCACTGGGGGCCTCAGGATCCTCTGCGGCCTTCCGTGGCCTCATGTCCCCTCATAAGACACTATGCAGATGGCCTTGGTGCCTATTAGATGTGGGACTTCTGGGCAGGTAGAGTCGATGGTGAGAGCTCTGGCTTTAGAGGAGGATGACCACTGGCTCACTTTAGGGGCCCTGAACTGCCCTTGGAATTTCATTTTCCATCCTAAAGCCAACCTGCTATCAGAAGTCTTCCTTGGTCCCTGCCCCTGGCAGCATCACCAAGTAAGGAGAGTTCTAGAAGTAAAACTGGAGCTCTGGGTTCTAGGACCAGCTCTGATGTTGTGCTGCTTGCAGCCCTGTGCTTTCTAGGCTGCAAGGAGGCTCTTTGTCACCCTGGTCACACTGTTCTTGTGTGCTAAGTCGCTTCAGTCATGTCTGACCCTTTGCAATCCCATGGACTGTAGCTGCCAGGCCCCTCTGTCCTAGAGATTTTCTGGGCAAGAATACTGGAGTGGGTTACCATGCCCTCCTCCAGGGGATCTTCCTGACCCAGAGATCGAACCCGCATCTCTTATGTCTCCTGCATTGGCAGGTGGGTTCTTTATCACTAGCACCACCTGGGAAACCCCTGTCCTTGGCCATAGGGCATTTCTTGGCCTGCTCAGGGCTTAGCCCTGACTTCCCTTGGGGAGAAGATCCTTACCTCTGATGATCCATTTGAGTTGGAGCATCACAGACTTGGGCTGAATATGGAGCTCTTCCTGTTCTTCAGACCACACGGGGTGTCCTTTCTTGGGGGTACCTCTCCATTCTCTACCTCCCACCACACCCAATCACCTGGCACCCACTGGTAAGATCATTGAAAGAGTTGTACTGATAACATTGCTGCCCTGATCAGAAACCATCAGTGGCTCCCCAACCCTCATCTAAGACAAGGGGGAAAGGGAGGATGAAATTCCAGGTTAGAAAGATGGTAAGAAAGACCCTAGGCCAAGGAATGAAATCTTTGAGCAAATTGGGAAATGCAGCAGTCATTAATGGAGTGTTGAAGAGGTCAGAGAAAAGTTAGTTTAAAGATTGCCAAAGAGAGACAGGGAATGAGCCGTGGGAGAAGAGCAAGGGTCCACAAACCACAGGGGCCTTGGGAACATCCCAGGAGGGGGCAGAGGGGAGGATGGAAGTGCTCTCCAGGCTCAGATGGAAGACGGGGAAAGTCAAAGAAGAGGCTGAGGGTGGAAGGGTCCTTGCTTGCAATGGAATGGGCACTCCTGGCCTTTCCAAGAGCCCATAGAATGGGGTCAAGGCTGAAATTCCTGGAGACTGGACCAGAGGGGACCCTAATTGGGAAAAGCATGAGGAAGCAGGTGGTCCCATCATGGGTGGGGTGGTAAATACCTGGGATATGATTTGGTACCCCCAGGAAGTGAGGAAAGAGAGTGGAAGAGCCCTGGGGAAGAAGGAGCTGGGGAGATAGCGAGGGGATAGTCAGGGGCAGGAAGGAAGGAGAGGAAACAAGTAAGGGGGGGGATTTCCTGTGCCCTGAAGGAGGGTTCCTCTCTCAGGATCCTGGCAGAAGACTCAGGAAGGATTTCCTGGAGCTGGCACCCCTGTGCCCCACCCCGTCCCCTGTGTATAGGTACCTAGTATCCCCACTCCATCCCCAGGGTAGAGGTACCACCTGCTGACTGGAAGAAAATGCAGCACAGACCAGCCCGTAAGACCCTTGGATCTTGGTGACCAGGGAGATGGAGGGTTCACCCAGCCATGGTCCTAGGACCCTGCATGCAACCCCTCCCAGCCCAGACTAGCTGGGAGAGCCCCAGGGGCTGAGCGACCCACCCCCCGCACCTGGTGCCATACCTGGCTTTGCTGCCATCGCTCAGGACATGGAGGCTGCAGCTGCATTGAGAGGGGCAGGCACCCTGGGTCTGTGGGGGCCCTCCGAGGGCCAGGAGCCAGAGCACGCCCACCGCCAGCCTCATGGCTCCTGGCTTCTCTTAGCCCAGGCAGGGGCCTGTCCCTCACTGCTCTGTCCTGCCGGCCCAGCCAACCCAGCAGCTGCCCACTGCTCATCGTCTGCCCACACCCCAACTTGGAGCCATCGGATAAGCACAGACAGGCTGGGGATTAGGGAGGGGAGCCCTGGCCGTGCACTCAGCGGCTTATTGCTTCCTGGGATCACCCAGTCCTGAAGATGGGGGTGGGGGATCCCCTCTCGTGGCAGCAGCCACAGGCCCAGAGATGCAGGGCACGGCCAGAGGTGGGCGGTCACCCAGAGGGGCAGGTGGCTGCTGGGCTGACTGGCAGGGCTGCCCACCTGCAAAGCCACTGCATGCCAGCCAAGCTATGACTGCACAGACCCCGCAGGGTGCCTGGGCTCAAAGGAGATGAAGACAGAACCCGGCCTCTAAAAAGGGCCCCTGGAAATTCTCTCAGTGACACTATCTTATAGTGAAAAGACAATGAGACAAGGTGGTGAAGGCATTAGAAAGAGCCCAAGCTCCAGGCCAGGTCAGCCAGGTTCAAATCTCAGCTCTTCTGTTCACAGGCTGTGATCTTAGACAAGTTACATGGCCTCTCGTGGCCTCTGTGTCCTCATCTATCCATGAGAAGTAGTGTTACTCTGCTCCGGGTGCTTACGAAAATTAAACAAGCCACGTTTCTCAGACCTTGACAGCCTGCAGGAACAGAGGCTTCTTGGAAGTAGTAAGTACCCTGCTCCACTGGTGCGTCCAAGGACGAGCTGGGTAGATTCAGATATTTGAGGGTGACCGCAGAGGTGTCTCCTATGTGCTCATGAATTCTCCCAGCCCACTGCCCTGAACACCCCATGGACACAGTCTCAGATCACTGCCATCTGAGCCTTATGGGCATTACCACCAATGGCAAAGGCACGAGGTGTCTTGGCCTGAGGGCAACGAGCGCCCCTCACCTCTAGTTATCTCACTCTGAAAAGGGCTCCAGAGCAGGACCCCCCCAACCCAGAGCTTTTAGAGAAGAAACTGTCGATTTCTACTGATTGGCCCTACCCTCAACCTCATCCCACCATCAACACTGCCTTCCCCTCATCCATTCTTCACATGTGACTCCAAGGCTTTGCTCTCTGGCCAGGCATGCCCTACCTGGATCTGATGGCTTTTCCAGAAGGTTCCTCAGCCCCATTGCCCCTGGGCATAGACAGACCTCCACCAGTGAGGTGTGACCAAGACAGATACCTGGGGCCCCAGTACACACACAAAATGTCTGTGCCTGTTTTGACAACATTGGCTTCCAGGAACTATTGGTTCCCATTCCTTCCTCTCTTCCAATTCAGCCAATATGATCTTCTCAGTGCTTTCCACCTGTAACTCCTCCTCCCCAAACCAAAAAGCCAACCCTGCCCTTTACCACGTCTCTGGCTTTTCCTTCTTCTGTTGGGGATACCTTTCCTTCTCTCTTTTGCTTACCCAAACTGTACCCTTGATTCCTGGCCCTGTCCTTTCTCTTCTCCCCTGAAGTCTTTTGTGATCTTGCAAGCATGAAAAATAAAAAAATCTGATCTGTGTTTCTGGTTAAAGTAATGCAAGATAGAAATCAGGAAGGGCAGGGAGGACTCTGTGGTAACAGGGTTATCAAGGAAGGCTTCCAGAAAGGTGTAGAGGGTCACCTCAGCCCTGAGTGTTGTTAGGCTTGGATATAAGTGAGGATCAACAGGAGAACGGACATGGGGAATGAACACTTACAGAATAAAATGAACTGCTTGACAGGGAGCTGTAGGGGTAGGAGATTGGGCTTCTGTTCCAGCTGCATCTGTGAATCGGTGTATGACTTCAGGCTAATTCTTAACTGCATTGAGCCTCAGTTTCCTCACGGGAAACTAAAAGGATGATGGTATCTAATTCTTGGAGATGTTGTAAGAATCATCATAAGATCATTTAGCACAGTACCAGGCCCTTGGCGAGCACTCAGTAAACATTAGCTATATTGCTAGTGTCATAGGGAAGAACAAACCTGACTCCCTATTTGTAATAGATCTATTTCTTTGTTTCTTTTACTTTAACATTTGTTACTCTTTTGCTTTGGCTTTGAGTTAAGAATGTTGCCTACAGGGGGATCCCTGGGAGCCTAATGGTTAGGATTCCAGGCTTTCGCTGCTGTAGTCTCAGTTCAAACCCTGATGGGGGAGCTGAGCCATGCAGTGCAGGAAAAAAAAAAAAAAAAATAGGAGAACGGACATGGGGAATGAACACTTACAGAATAAAATGAACTGCTTGACAGGGAGCTGTAGGGGTAGGAGATTGGGCTTCTGTTCCAGCTCCATCTGTGAATCGGTGTATGACTTCAGGCTAATTCTTAACTGCATTGAGCCTCAGTTTCCTCACAGGAAACTAAAAGGATGATGGTATCTAATTCTTGGAGATGCTGTAAGAATCATCATAAGATCATTTAGCACAGTACCAGGCCCTTGGCGAGCACTCAGTAAACATTAGCTATATTGCTAGTATCATAGGGAAGAACAAACCTGACTCCCTATTTGTAATAGATCCGTTTCTTTGTTTTTTTTACTTTAACGTTTGTTACTCTTTTGCTTTGGCTTTGAGTTAAGAATGTTGCCTACAGGGGGATCCCTGGGAGCCTAGTGGTTAGGATTCCAGGCTTTCGCGGCTGTAGTCTCAGTTCAAACCCTGATGGGGGAGCTGAGCCATGCAGTGCAGGAAAAAAATAAAAAAAGACTATTGCTTATAACCTGAAATACACAGGGGAGCCCGTTCTCAAGGCTCTGACCTTTAAGGGTTTAACACATTTCTTTTTGTATAGAGATAAAAAGTTGTATAAAGACTGACATTTGTCTTTTGAAGGAACAGCTGTAGGAACAAAGAATTGTGACACCAAGAAATTTGCAGCAACAAACCATACCCCCTCTTTACCTTGTCTTTAAAAATGCTTTGCTGAAACTCTTTGGGGAGTTTGGGGTGTTTGGGGCAAGAGCCACTTGTTGTTCTTTCATGGCCCTGCACTAGACTTTTCCCTACTCCAAACTCTGACGTTTCGGTTCCTGCATTGGGTGAACGCAGCGTTGGATTCTTTGTAATATTAATAGCAGCACTCTGGGCCTTGGTTTCTTTATATGAAAATGAGTTCAGTTGTTCTGGATGAGTGTTTTTTTCTTTCTTTCTTTTTTGGCTGTGTTGTACAGCTTGTAGGATCTTAGTTTTTCAACCGGGGATTGAACCCGGGCCTTGGCAGTGAAAGCACAGAATCCTAACCTCTGGACCACCAGGGACTCCCCAGAGTTAGTGTTTCTTAATGTAAATGTCACTATAAGCCAGTGTGTAACTTGTACCAGGATCTCATTTATAGAAGGCAAAGTTCTTAGTGGGTCGTGGGCCACTTAGGGCAGCAGCCCCTCTGTCTCAAGCCGGTGCCTTGGGAGATGTTTATGCTTGCATAGGTTAAGTGCTCTATGGGACACAGGAAATGAAGCCTAAGGCTATATCCATGATGTATTCTTCTGATCAGGACTTACACAGGTCAGGGTGGGTGGAGAGGAGTGGGGAGGGGGGTGGGAGATGCTTACTTTGCAAAAGAGACAACTGAGATGACCCCAGTGGGCCTGCCCCAGGGACATAGGCAGTTAATGGATAGTTCAGAACCAGAAGCAGTCTCCAGTCCCAGCTGGAGCTCCTTGCATGACAGCAAGTGACTTCCAACTGTCACTCTTTCCCCATGGCTTGCGAGCATACACGTGAGCTCCGGTGGATACCATACACGTGTACACACGTGCACACAGGTGCTCAGCCTGTCGGCGCCTGCAAATATGGGAGGGCCTGGCTCCCGACCCGCTCTCAGGCTTGGCTGCAGCTCAGATCCCCCCTCTGCTCCCCATCCTGCCCCTTGTTATGCAACTCTTTTCTAATTCAGCTTTTGGCCATACACCATTTGGATTCTGGGTCCTTAATCCGATGGAGCTGAAATGAATGAGGCCAGACTCCGTGCTGGCTTCACAAAGGCTATACTGTCTAACTGATGAATGGGTTCCTTCTGTCCGGGCCAAGAAGATGATTTGGAGGGCCAGGGGGCAGCAAAAAAGGAACCCGATGTCTAGCATAATACCCTGCATGTGCCAGCACGTGGAATGGCCCTTTATAACAGAGGAGCCTGGGTTGGGGGAGCCAGAGAAGAGCTGGCTCAGCTGGGAGAAAGGCAGAGAGAATGGCAGAGTCCGGGACCCTGCCCACTGGCTTCGGGGAGCTGGAGGTGCTGGCCGTGGGGACGGTGCTGCTGGTGGAAGGTGAGCCAGGCAGGAGCTGGGGTGGAGTGGAGCTCAGCAGGCCCCAAGAATGCAGGGCACAGCTGCAGAGCTGGCAAGGAGAAGTCCCCAAACCATACTCCTCTGTGCTCAAACCCACAGGGTTTTCGGATGGCTGCCCCCGCGGGCTGCAGCTTGCAGCCTGGGAGTCAGGAGAGAGGAGCCAGGCGTGGGACAGAGAGGGAGGGGTTTTGAGAAGGCGATGTCTGCCCAGGGCATGACCAAGAGCCAGGCCTTTTCATGTCCCTCCTGTCAGGAGAAAGTTGAATCCACTCCCTGGAAATCCTGCTAAGAATCTCATATAAGATCAGCCCCTGGTAGGCTGTGAAGACAGTCAGCTCTGCCACCTGCTGTCTGAGTCACTGAAACCAAGACACCTGAGCTCTCTGAGCCTCAGCACCCTGACATTCCAAATGGGTGGTGGTGAAGGTTAGATGTGATCAAGGTATTAAGTTTGCCTAGACAAACCCAAGTATTCAAGTTCATTCACTCCCTTCCAGCCCCACATTACTTTCACCATCTTCTGGCCCTCAACCCTAAGCACTTCCACCCTAGGGGCGACCTGGGTCCATGAGATGTGAGCTTCAACCCAAAATCCCTAAGATGCTCACTGAGGCCAGGGCTGGACCAATAGACCCTAGAGTTGGGTGAGCCCAAGTCTAGGTCAGTGTGGGATGTAGCCTTTGTTCAAAGCAGATTCAGAGACAAAATCAACACATTTGAGAATTGAAAGTAGAGAGGGAACAGCAGCCACCAGGCTGGCCCTGAAGCCCTGGACCCCGGACCCCATCGTCTGGTGGCCTCAACCCCCTTCCCCTCCTCTGGGAACCCTGCAATCTAGCATCCCTCTAGGTCCTCAAATGTGCCTTGAAAGTTTACAGCTTTATGTTTTTGTACGTGCTGGTCCCTCTTTCTAGAATGCTCTTCCACACCCTGTCCTCGTCCTTGTCCTCCCTGTGAAGGCTCACAGTTTGGAGGCAGGATCCACCCCATTTCTCACTTCACATGGGAGAAGCTGAGGTTCGGGGAGCCTAAAGGAGCAGCAAATGAGTGACAAAGCTAAAATTCAAGGTTGGGTCTGTCTGCCACTGGACACCACCCGCTTGAAGCTCACCTCACTGCCTGGGGTCCTGGGAAGCTCCCAGTTCTATGTTGCCTCCTCCTCTCTGAGGTTCTCCCTAACATTGTTCCAGAGTCCTTGGAAAGGGCATTTTGGAATTTGAAAAAATTTGAGTTCAAGTCCCAGCCCTGCCCCTTACTAGCTGTGTACTTAGGCCAACATCTCTGAGCCTTGGCGTCTCCATGGCAAGTCGGGAGGACAGTGTCCAGGTGAAGACTGACTGGGAGGATCCATGCAAAGTGCTCAGGCGGGCACGTGATAGGTGCTCAGTGGCTATCTATAACGGTGATTGTGCTGGCACAAACTGTGCTGCACTTGACTGATTTTCTTCCTCGTCGATCTTTCTATCAGACTGTGCACTGGTAGAGGGCAGGGTGTACATTTCATGGCTTTCAGTATCTGAGGGCCAGCCTGCCTCATGGGCACTTGATGAGCTTCAAGGAGATGGGTGCTGAGTGTGAGGGGATGGGGGGTTGCAGAGGGCCCATCCATTCCATGGGCCCTCATTCTGACCCCAGGAGGGCCTCGCAACCCCAGTGCCAGCTCTCCCCTTCTTTTCAGCTCTTTCTGGCCTCAGCCTAAACATCCTGACCATCCTCTCTTTCTGCAAGACCCCAGAGCTGCGGACCCCCAGCCACCTGCTGGTGTTGAGCTTGGCGCTGGCCGACACTGGGATCAGCCTGAACGCCCTCGTTGCAGCCACGTCCAGCCTCCTCCGGTACCTGCCCCCACCCTAGTCCCTGGGCTCTGGGGCCTGACCTCAGGGCCCTGGGCAGCAGGCCAGAGACATGCTTCCTACCTGTAGAAAGCTATAGGGGAGAGGGTGGGCAGACCAAACTAGGGTAAATCTGAATTCCAGACCATGCCTGCAGAACCACAGCTGATTTCTGAAACACAGGAGTTCCTTGGACCTGACCATCAGAGCAGGCTGACTGTGGGGACTAAGCGCCTGGGCCCTGCAACCAGGCTGCCTGGGTTGGAATCCTGACTTCATTATTTCTATCTCTCTGTAAATTACGTGTTATTAGCTAACTAGTATGGTTGTTGGAGGTATTATTTGTAAATCATTTAAAGCAATGCTTGGCACCTAGGAAGCTTTAAACAAGTATTTGTGAAAGCAAACAGGATTTTGACAAGTGTCTAAGACCTTACGTGACCGGGGTCTTCCAGTGTGGTCTAAGAAGTGTTTATAGGATTGTTTTCTTAAGCAGATGGATCATTCCTGTGGAAGCTAGAGCCACCCCTGCATACAGAGTCTCAGGGCTGACTCTGCAGGGTCTGAATCAGTGAGGATTCCCTGCCCTGTGTCCTCCCGCACCTTCCCAGGGTGGGGGATGGGCAACTGAAGCTTCCGCCCTGCTTGACCTGTGGGGTCAGAAGTTGGGAGGCCTGGGGTCTACCCTCTGACTTTGCCTTTATGTGCTGTGTGACACTGGCTCAGTACCTCTTCCTCTCTGAGCCTCAGGCACGAGCTCTCCTCCCATCATGTTGCATCCTGTGATACAGGCACCTGATCACCAGGGAGACTCTTTGGTCCAGCCCAGGTGCCCCTTCACCCCAGTGGCTCAATCTCTAAGGCCTCAGTTTCCTCATAGGAAAACAGATACTAAAGCCCTTTTCTAAGAAGCCAAAGGTGCCCTCCAAGCTGCTGACCAGCAGGTGAGGGAGGAGGACAGGGGCGAGGCGGAGGGGTCACTGGTGCCCCGTGTCTCCCACAGGCGCTGGCCCTATGGCTCAGAAGGCTGCCAGGCTCACGGCTTCCAGGGCTTTGCCACCGCACTGGCCAGCATCTGCAGCTGCGCAGCCATCGCCTGGGGGCGCTATCACCACTACTGCACCCGTAGGTCTCTGGTTCCGCATACCGAGGGGGGTCAGAGCGAAGGTCTGCTCAGCATTTCCCAGTCCAGGGAAGCGTGGGTGGGTGTAAGTGTGCCTGAGTGTGGGGTGCGGGCCCCCAAGAAAGGGAGGAGGGTGGGAGAGCGCAGGAGAGATGCAGGTTCCCTGCGCCTTCACTGCAGCCTCAGGCAAGTCAGGGGTCCTCTGTGAACCTTGGTCTCCTCCTCTGCAAGGAAGAGTTTTGTAACCAACGTCAGTTTTATTTGGAAAATCAAATGAGATTCTGGATACAGAAGATGCCCTTGAAGACAGGCACTGTTGGGAGGCAGCAGAGAGGTGGTGTGTGTGAGAGAGACTGGGCACCTGCCTTGGCACCTCACACTTTCATGCAAATTCTGCCATGCGAAGGCTTCATGAAAAAGAGTCTAGTTCAAGATTTCCCAAGCTGTACTGTCAAATTCCCTCTTCATAATTAGACATATAAGTGTACCACCTGCTTTATTATTTACCTGATGTTTTTCTTAAGTGACTCGTTTTTTTAAATTGAAACAACTGCTTTAGTCTCATTCTAAATAGTATCTGTGAAATCACAAAGTTAATGTCATAATTTTAATACACATAAAGGTAAGAAACACATTCAGCCATGTAGAATCTCATTCACCATGGGAGAAACATAAACATTCTTTGGGGGCTGTGGCTCAGTCACCCCTCACGCAAACCCCCAGCATGCAGACTGGGTAACACTGGTTCAGAGAAGTCAAGTAGCTTGCCCTGAGTCACACGGCTACAGGAGCCAAGCTGGGATTGTGCATGGCCTGGATGCCTCAGAGGGAGCCTCCCCTTTGTCTCCTGGACTCTGAGTCCTAATTCCCTGGCACAGAGGTTACTCTGGGGCTCACAGCTAACATGGCCTTGAGCCATGAGCATCAGTCCTTTGGAACTGCAGATCTGCCGCATGGACACACGGCTCACTGCCCTCAACAATGTCACATGCTTCTCTTCAGGGCCAAAAACACAAAAGCCTTTGTTCTCTGCTAATGCTGACTCCTATCTGCCTCATCTGACCTTGGAGCTCCTCTTCCACTACTTCTTTTTTTTCTTTTTTTTTTCTCTTCCACTGCTTCTATCCCAGCCCTGTCCCCAAACCTTCCGCAGACCATCACTCACATGTGCATGCACACCTGTCTCTTTGCCATCTCCCTCTTTCTCTCTGTTCTCTAAAGAAGATGGTACAGAGTGTCTCTAGGAGACTTCCACATCCATTGTCTCTTTTATTCTTCATAACAATCGTCGGAGGCAAGGATTATTATCATTCCCAGTTTATGAAGGAGAAAACTGAGGCTCAGAGAAACTTAACTTGCCTGAAGCACTGTGCTGCTAAGCATCAGAGCCAGCATTTAAGGACAGTCCACGTGCCCACCAAGTCCATTATTTTTTCACTCCGCCAAGCTACCGCCTCCCCTCCATCATCCTCCTCCGGTGTCACCGCAGGCAGCCGGCTGGACTGGAACACGACCGTCTCCCTGGTGCTGTTCGTGTGGCTGTCCTCTGCCTTCTGGGCGGCGCTGCCCCTCCTGGGCTGGGGCCACTATGACTATGAGCCGCTGGGGACCTGCTGCACCCTGGACTACTCCAGGGGGGACAGGTGAGGTGTGGGCAGCAGCTCTGAGGCTTCTTTCCATGGGAATCTGGGCTTTGAGCCTCTAGGACAACAGGGTGTCAGCTGAAAATCCCAATGGGGACGTGCCAACATCTGCCAGACAGTGTCAGCTCCTTAGCCATGATCCCCATGTATAAGTTGACAGTGGGACTAAGGAAAGCCCATTTTGAAGATTGGCCAAGGGATGGGAATGTTGTGCCAGTTGGGGTGCAGAGTTGGGCCCCAGAAGGGGTCCTCTCCAGGGAGCTGTGTTGGTTATAACAGTCGCTGAGCCCCGTGACCCCTTTGCCACCTTCAGCACAGTCAGATCCCAGCTCTGATTTATTGACTCCTACAGGGAGCCGTATCCTTGGTTCTATAGTGTCAAAGAATGTTAAGGTCTTTGCATTGGGAGGGGCCTCTCTGGCATTGAGAACAGTTCTCTGGATTCTCAGCATTTGCTGTGGGCCAGGCCCTGGAGAGACAGCCGTAAATGCATGATGGCATCAGGAGCACTCATCTAGTACTGCCAGGTCCACTGGGCTCTGGGGAGTCCAGGGCTCCCTCTAGGGGCTGCCTTGGGGAAGGACCACACGGGCTCCAGCCCCGATCTTGCTTCTGCTAGAGGCACACTGCATTCATCTGCTTGACATGTTTATTCATGTTTACTCATTTATCTATTTGGCTGCGTTGTGTTTTAGTTGCAACAGGATCTTTCATTGTAGCACACAGGCTTAGTTGCCCCATGGCATGTGCGATCTTAGTGCCTGGACCAGGAATTGAACCCACATCAAGGTGGCTTCTTAACCAGTGAACTGCCAGAGAAGTTCCTATTCGTGTTTATTCATAATGCACCTGCCCTATGGTGTCAGCTGAAAATCCCAATGGGGACGTGCCAACATCTGCCAGACAGTGTCAGCTCCTTAGCCATGATCCCCATGTATAAGTTGACAGTGGGAATAAGGAAAGCCCATTTTGAAGATTGGCCAAGGGATGGGAATGTTGTGCCAGTTGGGGTGCAGAGTTGGGCCCCAGAAGGGGTCCTGTCCAGGGAGCTGTGTTGGTTATAACGATGCTGAGCCGCTGTGTTGGTTATAACAGTCGCTGAGCCCCGTGACCCCTTTGCCACCTTCAGCGCAGTCAGATCCCAGCTCTGATTTATTGACTCCTACAGGGAGCCATATCCTTGGTTCTATAGTGTCAAAGAATGTTAAGGTTTTTGCATTGGGAGGGGCCTCTTTGGCATTGAGAACAGTTCTCTGGATTCTCAGCATTTGCTGTGGGCCAGGCCCTGGAGAGACAGCCGTAAATGCATGATGGCATCAGGAACGCTCATCTAGTACTGCCAGGTCCACTGGGCTCTGGGGAGTCCAGGGCTCCCTCTAGGGGCTGCCTTGGGGAGGGACCACACGGGCTCCAGCCCCGATCTTGCTTCTGCTAGAGGCACACTGCATTCATCTGCTTGACGTGTTTATTCATGTTTACTCATTTATCTATTTGGCTGCGTTGTGTTTTAGTTGCAACAGGATCTTTCATTGTAGCACACAGGCTTAGTTGCCCCGTGGCATGTGCGATCTTAGTGTCTGGACCAGGAATTGAACCCACATCCCCTGCATTGCAAGGTGGCTTCTTAACCAGTGAACTGCCAGGGAAGTTCCTATTCGTGTTTATTCATAATGCACCTGCCCTATGACAGGCTTCTCAGGTCAAACCCACTGGAGAACGCAGGGTCTGGTCTGATGTCCTCCAGGGAGTCCCTGCAGGTATCCCCGCTGGTGCCCAGCTCTTCTGGCCGCGCTCCCTCCCACCCCTCCTGAGTGGACGGCAGCCAGGCGATGTGGTCTCCGCCGCACAGAATGTCAGCCGGCCCCCCTGTGACTCCCACCTGCTCCTGGTCAGCCCTTGGGCCTCCCCATGACCACTACCTGGGACCCCTGGTTCTTCCCTGGTCCCTTCAATGATTTCTTCAGTGATACAGTGTCCAGTCTCATCCACAGGGCCCTTCCAAACCTGTGCCATAAAGCTCCTTGAATGATCTTTCCTCCTGGTCAACTGACATCTCCATTTGCTAAACACATTTCCCGAACAAATTGTCCCGGTCTCCGTGTTTGGGGCACATAAGAGAGAAGGCTGAGCCCCTGAACTGCCCAGCAGCAAACTGAAGCCGGACTATCCTTTGTCCCAGCTCCTTGGCCTAAAGGCAGGTTCTAGGAGGACCTCATAGCTCCTGGTTCCCAGGAGAGTTCAGCTGGGAACCGGGAGCACCCACACTCTGAATATTCACCTGATGGGAGGAGTTCCCTGCATCTGACTGTCTAGCCCAAGTCTGATGGGCCTTCTTGGGCAACTGATCATCTCTGAGAGGCAATTCTTGACTTCCCTGTCCCCTCTGCCTTCAGAAACTTCACCAGCTTCCTCTTCACCATGGCCTTTTTCAACTTCCTCCTGCCCCTCTTCATCACAGTCGTATCCTATCGGCTCATGGAGCAGAAACTCGGGAAGACCAGCCGTCCCCCGGTAAGGATCAGCTCCTCAAGGAGGAGAAACACCAGGGAACGTGAACGATGTGACTGCAATCAGGGGTTCTCTGTGTTTTCAATGATCAAGAGAGAAATCTAGCTTTGTATGTAGAGTGTGGGGTGTTAGGGCAGAAACACACCCTCCCCTCCCATTGCTGGAGATCACCAAGACCAGGGAGGAAGAAGCAGAACTGCTCAGATTTACCCAGACCCCATAATACTGAGAGACAGGGAGTCCTAGTGGACATCATCCTTGCTGTTACCCTTGCTTCTTCCCAAGGATATGAAGATTGACACAAAATTTCATGCATTTTAAATGGCTTCAGGATGTTTCATTTAACCGCAGGCACAGACTGTTACCCACAAAGTAAAATCACACCTGCAAGCACATTTGTCCAAGAGAAACAATGATTCAAAATAAGCCCTCCTGGCCATTGCTCAATTTCTGCACTAATATCCTCTTGCCAGGATTGTTTTTTAATTACCTGAACAGTCTCTAGCAGATGAGTCATAGCTCTAAAGATTCAAAAAACAAAAACAAGCTTAAAAAACCTCAGGTACTAATGCAACTTTATGTGCATTATATCATTTCAATTTTGCACCCACGCTCTGAGGAAGGAAGGCTTTATTGTCCCTATGTCACAGTTTAGAAAATTGAGACTGAAAGGGGCTATTAGCTAAGCAACTGGTCAAAAGCAGCGCCATTAGTAGTAGCAGCATTGGATCAAACCCAGGTCTGGGGCTCTATCACTCAAGTGGGCAATCCTAGTGCATAAAAGAAGCACTCTCTTTGTTGAAACACTTCATCTGCCACATTTTTTCCCCTTGTGAATTGGAAAAACACTTTACCAGCTGATTGTAGCTGTGGACCCAGGTTTTCCTGGTCACAGAAGGAGGGCGAGGGCTGTACAGGTGTTCTGTTCATCACCGCCCCACGGTTGCCTGCCTCCAGGTTGCGCCCGCCGGTATCCCTGCCTGGGTGCTCGAAGTCGCCACATTTATTGGAGGTTCAATGGGCCAGCAGGCAAGGCTACCACACGGATTTTCTCCTTTTTCCCAGTTGACTTTAAACCATCCGTTTCACTAGCATCAGCAGGGGTCGCCACGCACTGTCCCAGGGACCTCAGATGCGAGCTTAAGTCACCGTCTTTGTTAAAGGGCGACATGGTCGGTTAGAGAATAGGCACTGATTTTTAGCGTCAGAATTTTAACCTCTGAGTGTATGTGGAGAATCGTTATTTCGCACATTCTGAAAATAGTACGGAAATCGTGCGCCTTCCTGTGGCCACTTGTGGTACCACGTCGCCCGCCGCCTGGTGGTTTCAGTATCTCGGAGGGAGGAAAGCGGCCGCTTTGAACCCAGGACACGTTGAGCCGCCAGTGAATGCAGGAGCTGGTTGCAATGTAGTTCTAGGACAGAGTTGTGAGGGCAGCTCAGCCTGGGGACCTTTATACACACAGCCACACTCACGCAGCCCCGGGTTTCTCAGAGAACACACCGAGAAGGAAGCGAATCCTCTATTCCAGTCGCTGCCTCCAGGCAAGTCAGGCATATCAGGCCACTTTATGGACAAGGTCACTGAGGTCAAGAAAGCTTGAATGCGAGGCCTCGGGTCAAGCATCTTAAACAGAAGAGAGATTCAACTGGTCCCAATTTCCTCCACAGGCTCAGCACCTTCCCACAGCCCTGCCAAGCTGGTCCTGGGACCTCGTGGGGCTGCCGGCCACCTGAGCCAGTCAATGCCTACCTCCTTTAAAAAAAAAAAAAAATTAGAGAATAATTGCTTTACGATGTTGTGTGGTTTCTGCCATGCAACAATGTGAATCAGCCATAAGTATACACATGTTCCCACCTTCTTGAACTTCCCTCCCACCTCCTACCCTATCCCACCCCTCTAAGTTGTCGCAGAGCTCCGGGTTGAGCTGTGTTATACAGTAACTTCCCCCAGTTATCTGTTTTACCTACGGTACTGTGTATGTTTCAATGCTATTTTCTCAGTTCTTCCCACCCTTTCCTTCCCTGCTGTGACCACAAGTCTGTTCCCTGTGTCTGCGTCTCTATCTCTGCCCTGCAGACAGGTTCATCAGTACCATTTTTCTAGACTCCATATATATGCATTCATATAGGATATTTGCTTTTTATTTTCTGACTTACCTAACTCTGCATAACAGGCTTTAGGTTCATCTACTTCACTGGAACGGACTCAAATCCGCTCCTTTTTATGGCTGAGTAATAGTTCATTGTATATACGCACCACAACTTCTTTATCCATTCATCTGTCATTGAGCATCTAGGTTGCTTCCACACCCTGGCTATTGTAAATAGTGCTTCAGCGAACACTGGGGTACATGTGTCTCTCAGAATTGTAGTTTCCTTGGGGTATATGCCCTGTGGTGGGATTGCTGGGTCACATGGTAGTTTTAGCCCTAGTTTTTAAAGAACTCTCCATCCTGTCCTCCACAGTGGCTGTATCAGTTTACATTCCCACCAACTGTGATGCCTCCCTCCTTCACCCGTGTCTCCCCAGGTGAACACCGTCCTGCCAGCCAGGATGCTGCTGCTCGGCTGGGGCCCCTACGCGCTCCTGTATCTGTACGCCACCATCGCGGATGCAACCTCCCTCTCCCCCAAGCTGCAGATGGTACAGACGCCGCCAGTACTCCAGTACCTGCTCCCCATCTGTTTGCCTATTTCTCCCCATCTCTCTCTCTGGCTTTGTAGCTTCCATGATCACTCGCTCTTCCTCTTTTCCTCTGAAAGCTCATAACTCACTGGGTATTTGCTTGTCCCCCTGGTCACATGGGGCCACTGCTTGACATTGCCCAGGCCTCACGTGAGATGTCAGGGACAGCCAGCCAGATGGTGATGCACGCACTCTGGGACCAGGGGCGGAGAGTGGTGTCTGGGGAGGAGCAAGGTTCCACGCACCATCCGGCAACTAGTCAGAGAAGGCTTAGAGGCTGCAGAGTCAAGCCAAGGGCAGATGCTTGGCAGCTGAGACGGGGTGGGGGGCCGGGATGGGTTGGGGAGGGGGGATGGTGGTCACCCATTGGGACCCGGGAGAGGAGCAGAGGCTCTGAAACTTCTTTCCTGGATTTCTCCATCACAACAGGTGCCCGCTCTCATTGCCAAGACAATGCCCACAGTCAACGCCGTGAACTATGCCCTGGGCAGCGAGATGGTGCACAGGGGGATCTGGCAGTGCCTTTCGCCACAGAGGAGAGAGCGCAACCGGGAGCAGTGAGCCTCGCTGGGGGGCTGCCCAGACCCAGGCCCACCCAGGCCTTCCTGGACTGAGCCCCTGCCTGGGGAGTCCTGTCCAGCAGCCTCAGGAGCCAGGCTCCAGACACTCACCCTTCATCCCTGATGGCCCTTTGAGCCTGGCCCAAGGCCGGACACAGGGGATTCAGAGAAAATCCAGACTGCATGGAACAAGCCCGGACTTTGGAGCCACACGGACCTGTGTTGGCCATAGCTGAAAGACCTTGGAAAAGTCACACTCTCTGAACTCAGCTTCCTGGCCCCTAACGGAAGGATGTTAATATGGACGTTGGGTCTGCCATGAAGCTTGAGTGTGATAGCGTATACTCACATGCACATAGACGCTGCTGCTCATTAGTACAACTCTTAGGATTCAGAGACTTACATAGAAAGGGGTGAAAGTCCAGGTTTGTCTGTGGGAGCTCAACCCAGGCTGCCAGCATTCAAACACCTCTTATTAAATCGTGATCTCATACAGGTGACTTACACTTCCTGGGCTTGTGTTTCCAATTTGTGAGGCATGATGACAGGAATAGTGACTTGACCATGCAGAAAGGCCCAACACCTTACCAGGCACATATGAAGTGCTCATCAAGAGTCACCATCACCACCCTTCAGTTAAGACAGCTGGCTGCACATTGCTTAGTTGCCAACATTAAAAAAAATCAGGACAATTTGTTTAGAACTTCAGACATCTGAAGGGGAGGCCCCACCAGCCTGGAGGAGACTCCAAGGTGACGGTTTGAGGCAGAGTGGCTCTGCCCAGTGCCCAGGGCATGTGCTGTCCCATCAGCTGCAGCTCGTGTGTTCCCTTCGGAGCCCGCGGCGTCTGAGTCTGAGACACTCGTGCTGGGGTCCCCGCTCCTGGATGCACCTCTGCATCTCCCACGGGCTCAGCCCCTCAGGGACAGGGCGTAGCACGTGCGCAGGCCTGGATGGCCCCCGTGGTTCTGGGGGGACGTGGAGATGGGTGGAGGATGGTTGAGGGCGCTGCAGAAGGTCTGACTATGGAGGGGCAGCTGCCCCAGGCACCACCTAGGCAGGAAGTCTGAGAGCCAGTCCCGTGGAGCTGAGGGAAGGAGCTGCCAAGTCGCTGGGGTGGGCGTGCGGGAAGGTCATGAGAACAGCATCTGAGGACCCCAAAGACCAGGATCTGCCTCTTGGTTTTGCAGATGTAGAAAATCAGGCCACAGAAACACCAGACCAGAAGTCTGCACAAAACAGAGGCTTGTTCAGTCATTTTGCAGAACCTTGTGGGGTGGGGAGAGGACGAAGTCTTTCACAGCACTGTTTTCAGGCACTGTGGAGAGAAGATATCACTTGGCCTCACTCCAGCACCCACCCCGGAGTGGGGCCAGGGTGGGGAAACCCTGGGGCTTGAGCCAGGCTCACATACAGACTGAAAACGCAGGAAAGCAATGGGTTCTGGGGCCCAGAGATGCTGACCCTGCCCGTACAGCCCATGGACCTTAGAAGCACTAAGTCCCTAAGGAGGATGAGGGGGCACAGTGAGAAGAGCGGGGAGATGTGCCCCAGGCTCCAGGAGAGAAGGCCTGGAAGGTACGGGCGGCTGAAGGCTCCAGCAAGAGTGGCCCATGTCCCTAAGCAGATGGCACCCCTGCCTGTGCTCAGAGAGGAGGGCAGGGAGGCCGGCTAAATGGGCGTGGCCAAGGAAGGCATTACCTTGAGCCCGTATCCCCAAGTTGTATCTGTCCAGAGCTGGGATGGTGGGCTTGGGGCATCTCCACACTGAGCTGGGTTGGCCGGAGATGCGAGGGACTGTCAGCATCTGGTGGGGAACGACCAGAGCCCCACCTGAAAGTATGAATTCAGAAGCCCCAAGCCCACCCACACCCCTGCATCTCGCTCATGGGCTGGGTTTAGGGAGCCTCGTCACCTTTAGGTTCCATGTCTGGGATTATATAAAGCCCAACTTAAAAGCCACAAAATTTGTGTCCTAACAGTGACCCCTCTAAGATCCATTGATTCCAGAGTTTATTTAAGCTCTTTTTAAAAGAAATATAAATTAGGAGATTGGGATCGACATATAAACACTATTGATACTAGGCATAAAACAGATAACTAGTGAGAACCCCCTGTATAGTCAAGGGACCTCTCCTCAGGGCTCTCCTGTGATCGAAATGGGAAGGAAATTTTTAAAAAAACAGGGAATATACGTGTACATATAGCTGATTCACCTTGCTGTGCATTAGAAACGAATACAGCATTGCAAAGCAACTATACTCCACTAAATTTTTTTTTAAATAAATATAAATACAGTGGAATAACATGCCCCCATCTCACCCCATCTTCTTGCTGGGAAAGATGACTCTGCCTATTGAAAGATGGACTTGAATTAAAGTTACAAATACAGTAGCAAGTTGTTTCTGAGCTAAAAGAATGTATGATCTCTGGCCTCCTCCCCAGTATCCCCCATTGGAACAAGTTTCCTGGGGAGAGAAGGACTTCATACCTGATTGATTAGCGAAAGAAAAAAAAAAAAGAAACAAATTACTTATGGCCTAAACTATGTCTATATTTTCTCTTAAAGGGCTTTTGCAAATTTTCCACATGGGAAAATTTAACAGCTAGGTAGTTGGCCTCATTTATTTACATCTTTCCCCTTGCCACAAAATTGAAAGGATTTCTGTCGTTTTCCCTGTTAGAGATTGTTCTAGTTCAATTATTTCAAATACAAGCTCACTCTCGCACTGTATCCTGAATTGTTTTTCCCATATCAGTAAATATCATTAATATTTGCCCTGTGCTAAGCTTAGATGAAGAGAGAAGGTGGTGGTGAAGATGGGGGAGAGCCGTGTGCCCTGTGATAGGCAGAAGTCCTTACCTCAAAGATAAGGATGATGAAGTGCCTAGTTGCTACCACAGGGTGGCGCTGCTAACTCAATGATCAATTAATTCCACCTGGGCCTCCAGCCCAGGAGATGTCTCTTGAAGAGCAGGGAGGTGTCTCACAAGGCCGCTTGGGTGAATCATAGATTTCTGCAGGATACGGCAAGCTTTCTTTTCTGCTCTTGTTATAGAAGCGTGATGTCTACTTGCTTTCTCCTCCAAGTAATGTTATGATTCCACATCTCTCCTTGAAGGGCAAAGAATTGCATGCCCACTGTCCATAGGACTCCAGAGGGCCCTAGCCAGCTCCCCTTTTCTCTGCCTACACAGTCGTTGACACTGCAGCCGGATGTCAACCTCTCAGGTCTTCCCTTGCATGGGATGAGGTTAGGCGGTCTGGTCTGGCTTCTACCTCTAAATTGTGAGAAGTTGGGGCAGTGCCTGAATTTTTCTTACTTGGAAAGCGGAGGTGATACACCTTATGCCGATACTGCCTGTGGAAACACGCTGTAAACTACAGTCACTACAAGGACTGTACACAGAAGCAGCTTGAGCCTCAGCCGAGGTGCCATAAGTGGCGTTGGGTGACAGGAAAGAGCTCTGGGAAAGCCCCGGGCGAAGGCCAAAACCACACTCCTTAAGTCTCCCCTGTCCTCTTGGTTGAGGTAACTTGCTGCTTCCCTCTTAGTACTGCTCCATGGAGGGGGTCTAAAGGAAATCAGTCCTGAATATTCACTGGAAGGACTGATGCTGAAGCTGAAACTCCAATACTTTGGCCACCTGATGCAAAGAACAGACTCATTGGAAAAGACCCTGATGCTGGGAAAGATTGAAGGCGGGAGGAGAAGGGGACGACAGAGGATGAGTGGTTGGATAGCATCACCGACTTGATGGACATGAGTTTGAGCAAGCTCTGGGAGCTGGCGAAGGACAGGAAAGCCTGGTGTGCTGCAGTCCATGGGGTCACAAAGAGTCAGACACGACTGACCAACTGAACTGAACTGGCCGGGACACCACACACCTGTTCCCTCGCCCGCTCCCTGCAGCTGCTGCCACAGTGGCCTCCACTGTGTCCCTGCGAGGCCTCCTCCATCCAGCTGCCCTTCCTTTTGCAGCTGTCTAGGTGAGAGACAGCCTGGCAGCTTAGAAAGCACTTAGGTGTGGGTATCAGAAAGACCTGGTGTGAATCCAGGATGGGCCTTTTATTCAATGTGTGACCGAGTTTGACCAAGTTTCTTATCTCTGACTTTGTTCCGCTCCCACCAAAATGACCTTGTTGGGGTGGCATATTTTAAAGCACATAGTATGTAGTGAGTATTCAATAAATACTAGAGTCCCACCTTATCAACGGCTCCCTGAGTTTTCCTATTACTCAAGAAGGGGGCATACGGAGAAAAGAAAGAGGTGTACAGGAGAATTATGATTGAGTGATGGTTATATGCAACATGTGTCACCTCCACAACTTTATTTAGTTCCCCCATCATATCCTCAAACTCCTTGGCACATTTGAGCCATCTTGAGACCTGGCCATTCAAAGTGGTCCCTGGACCAGAAATATCTGAATTCTTGTTAGAAATGCGGGTTCCTAGGCCCCACCCCAGACCTCCCGAATCCAAATATGCTTTTGAGATAACCCCCAGGACCTCTGGGTGCATCTTAAAGCTTGAGAAGCACAGTGAAGCTTTACAGACAGTGATGTCTGGTTTCCTCCCGTGGAGACTCTGATGTAATTGGTCTGAAAGGCTGGCTGGGCTTGAGGCTTTTAAAAGCTCCCAGATGATTCTCTTGTGCAGCCAGAATTAAGAACCATTGATTAGAGGTGGGGGTGGGGGTTATGGACACTCACTTTATGAAGAGTGATTTAGCTGAGCTTTACTCTGAGTCAGCTCTGAGGCCATTCTTTGCTGTTTTATATGAATATGTTATATGTATACACACACATATATGTATTTCCACACACACATATGCATATACTTTTCTCTCTAGAAGTTTATTTCTTTGTTACTCATGCCCATCTTACCCTATGACTTGCTTTCATCTTTCTTGTATTAATTCCCCAAATCCCAAAGATCATGAACCCAGCAGCAGTGTTTCAGCCTAAGTAAGGCTTTTCATTTTATCACCATGATATCATTTACAAGAGAATAGGGTCAGGTCTTGTAATCGATGGAGAGACAGTCATGAAGAGGTTAAACATACTGATTAAGGCCATATAGTACGTGGGGAAGCCTGGCTTCTGAGTCCCAGTCCAGAGATTCTGGGGTATCAGAGCTGGCAGTTCAGATGCCAGCTGGGTGGAGAGCTGGACTTCTCAAGCCATAAGGTGCACATTCTGATTCAGTAAGTCTGAGGTGGGGCTAAAATTCTACATTTCTAACAAATTCCTGAGTGAAGCCGATGCTGTTGAAGCTGTGGTGTATTTGCTCAGGGCAGCACACTATGATCCCTAGCCCCGATGCCTGGCTTTCCTTTGCCAGTAGCTGACCAGGCTGTTCATTCAGCCTCCCTCGCCTGCCAGCCAGTTCACACCAAAGCTTCAAGGTGTGTGTCATCAGGCTACGGACATCTCTGTACCTCAGCCCACCACTGGGTGACTCTCTGGGAACACTTCCCTGCAGGATTTCACGTTGTTGAGCAACTC